ATATATATATATATATATAAAATAAACATATTTTTTTATTCCGAGAAAGACAGATGTGAGTGTTCAATCAAACCCTGTAAATGCTCAATCAGAACTGGTTAAATTCCAATATCTTCATCTGAATATATATTTTTATAGACAGTGTCGTCGAGAAGCGGTGGTTAGTAAAATTATCTCACCAAGTTTTTCATCCGCACTGAATGCCACACATATGTTTGTTTATATTAAACTAACAAAAATTTGCAACGAAAGTAATGTAAGCGTAAAACATATTTTTATAATATATACTTCAGTAAAAATAAAGTTATCTAACAGGAAAATTATAAAATATTTGGATATATGACCTAATTTGTTAACAATTTCCTGTTATATAACACACACACACACACACACACACACACACACACACACACACACACATACACACATACATACATACATTTTTCCCCCTGAGTTATCAGCTTTGGCCAGAGAGGAAGGTGAATGTTTACGTATTTATTTTTAGAATAAACATGCCAGAGACTCAGATTTCTCAATTCGTAGAAGAGTTTTTGCATCAGCAGTAGAAATATGTGCGCGTGTTTTTGCCTATATATATATATATATATATATATATATATATATATATATATAAATATATGAATTTAATTCCAGTAATATAAAAAATTGAATTTTAATTCAGTAATATAAAAATACCAAATATATTCTATATATATATATATATATATATATATATATATATATATATATATATATATATATATTCGCGTATAGTTTTATACTGATGACAACATCCGAAAGGATGATGTAGACTTGTATCTATGTTTGCTAGTAAATAGTAGGTATTTTAATCAAATATTCAAATTCGGTCGTTTTGCGTCGTTGCAAAAAGGTTGAAGAGTTATGTCCCTTTAATCACTCATTTTTTATTCTCAACTCAAAATCAATATATAACAAAATGGGACAATATTATGTCAGTAATCTCGCGTTGTATTTACATTATAGCTGGTTAGTCCGTTCATCCATGGGTATTCCTATCAACAGGGCCTTTTGCCAACCCAACCCTACCTAAATCTATTAAGTATTGTATCTTTTCACTTTATTCGAACTATTGAACTAGACAGATATTATTAAAGTCAAAACGGGATGAAGTTGAAAGATTATACTAAATCCGTTGCTAGATCTGTTGCTAAGAAAGTTGGTTCACGATATCGTGCTAGACATTTTTTTCTTCTAAATATGTCTTATATATTCATAAGTCTACCATTTTCCCATGCTTAGAATATTGATGCCACATATAAACCGGTGCTCCTGCTAAATATTTAGAGATTCTTGATAAAATCTAAAGAATTATTGTTCATGACCTACCATCTTGGTTTCAGATAGTTTTTCAACCTCCGTAATGTAACTTCCCTGTTACTTTCCAATAAATACTTTCATGATTACTGCTCTAATAAACTTTCTGCTCTGGTACCTAGACTTAATGAATTTAAGTGCGGCACTTGATTATCAAAAAGGTCTCATCAAATCACAGTTAAATTGGCGAAATGTAACCGTAAGTTCTATGTTACTAGATTCTTCTCCCGCATTTCTCATTTGCGCAACTGGCTCGATGCTTTCCAGCCAACTTTGAGTTTTAAAAAAATAAATGCAAAGAGAAGACTTCAAAAGGACTGAAAATCAAAGTCTAAACAGGAAATAACCGATAAATCTTTAATCCTGTTTCAAACACCGGGAAGAAGTGTGAACCGGACCTGGTCTTTTGAAATGGTGTTTCTGTTTAGAATTTGATTTTCGGTTCATTGTAATGTATTTTCGTTTCTTTTCACTCCCTGAAAATACTTGTGTTTTAGTGGCATTATCGCCTTGCTAGGATGAAGTGATTAACAAAATAAAAAAATAATAATTGTTTATTTAACTGCACATTTCATAATTAATAATCTCTAATTTATACCGAGTCACAATTTGTATTTAAGAGTGAGCTTATGCCTCTAATCAATAATAACTTGTTATGTGGAAAAGGCAGCAATCTTTGGGGTGCCGAGTTGTCTCCCTTGGATAAGAGGAAAAAGAGATTACACAATGTATAAATTCATTGCTTTTACTTTCTTTTTTTTTCCATGGTGTAAATAGTTCTGAAAAACTCAATAACTGGCACAAAGAAATAGTTAATTACAAGCCAACCTCTTGATAATAACTGCGAACCTCGAGCAGTTGCTCTACATATCTCTAAGGCGTTTGACAGGTTTTGGCATGCCGGCCTCCTAAGTAAGTTTCAGGGCGATTATTTGATATAATCCAATCATTCCTGTTCAACCGTGAAATGAAGGTCATTCTGAACTATTTCAACTCAAGTTTCTTTCATATGAACGCTGGTGTTCCCCAAGGCTCCATCCTAGGTCCTACACTGCTTTTGATCTTAATCAACCATCTTCCTGATGTCACCAGCTCCCAAGTAGGAATCTGCGCCGACGACACTACTATTTACTTGTGTCTCAATAGTAAATCCGGCATTGCTGACAAAGCTCACAATGCCGTTGGTCTCGTAAAAGACGTTCAATCTGTTGTTACTTGCGGCAGGAAATGGCTTGTGAACTTTAATTCCTCCAAAATGAAACTGCTCTCATTTCCCCACCATCGAGAAACCTCCGTGCCTCCTATCGGCATGGCTGATGTTCGACTCCACGGGAGTGTGTGTCTGCGCCTTCTTGGTCTCACGTTTTCCTATGAGCTGAGGTCGAACAACTGCATTGAATCATAACTTTAATTAAGTGTTATATATATATAGATCAAATATATATAAAAAGATCAAATATATATATATATTTATATGTATAGATCATATATATATATATATATATATATATATATATATATATATATATATATATATATATATATATGTATGTGTGTGTGTGTAAGAATTTATGTATATGTATATATGACGCTATGATAAAGAAACAAACTCACCTGTATCACAAGTTAAACTACATGGCGTAATAACATTCGCTCTCCAAGAAAACAACAAAGACTTTCCGGCCGGTTTCACTGCGTTGTAGTCTGGAGAGGTTGTATCTGTAAAAAATAAAAGAGGATATTCATGTAGATTTTGAAAAAAAAAGTAACTTTCTCACTGGTTAAGACCAAACCAAAACTCGCCTTATTAATGATCTCATAAATAAGAAACAAATTGATCTTAATTTACCAAACAATATTCAAACGTTCAAAAAAAGAAAGAAAGAAAAATATAGCAGTTTAAAAAAGCCGTATCGTGTGTGTCGGTTATTTGAGAACACGAGCCGTAAATGAATTACAACTTTAAAATAAATGTCGCGCTATATACGCCAATTTTTTTAAAATCATTTCACCACATGCAATGCGATGAAGCAAAGGGTTATTGAGAGTGAAGGTAACCGAAAAAACGTTGCTGACGAGAATGGGCAATAAAAAGAAACAGAATACACGGGAACAGAAAACGACGATAAACACTGAAGATAACATTAAAACAAGAAACATTGGAAGAAAATTCACCAGGCATGACGTGTAATAAAAGAAAGGGCTTGCATCTAGCAATTTCAAAAGTAAAAGAGACCAAGTTACTGATTTAGTACTGTGAAAATATTTATAGAAATTGAATTGGGAAAATAAGTAAAGAAAAGATACCTGGTTCGGACTGATATTCTTCTCTGGATTTAAGTAAAAACCTCTAGATTCACAGCAAAGGTACCAGATCAGGCAGGGCAAAATTATCCAGTGCACTCATGAATTGTCGACTTATAATTTGCAAGACAAAATCAGGTTGAGAAAGATTGTCTAGTACGATATAGCGAACCAAAATCCTTATAAGTAACCTCAGCAATTTACTCGATATAATCAGACCAGTTCATATCAATAGAAAACCTTATTCCAAGAAGAAACAATGCGTTGATCTTCTTGTGGTTAGCATCAGCAATGGTGAAGGAAGACAAAAAAAAGGTTTCTCTAAAACAGTGGATGTCTTCAAGTTTCTTTTGGAATTGTGAGTTCCTTTCTCCTAGATTGGTTTCGACCTAAAGGCAATCGGGCCCATTCAGCACTTCTCTTTAGTACATAACTTAAGTGAGAGGAGATACAGTTTTACTTTCCTTAAGTATGAGAGAAAAAATCATGTGTGTTTATCGGTTTGTTAGTGACATTCATATATATATATATATATATATATATATATATATATAATAGCTGGCCACTCGTATTCGAGGATACCCGTCTACTAAGGTGGCTATCCAATCCCTATTGCAGACGCTCTCTTAGGCACATTTGTGTTTGCTCAACACCCATCGAGCCCAATTGTGGCTTACACTGCAACTATGCTGAGAAGACACTACTTACAATTTCTGGGATAGAAAGTGTTATCTAGCGTGATCAACAATTTAAACAAGGCCAGCATGCTCAAACACTCAGCCAAGATGATTGGTTTCGTGCTAGCACAGCTATCGACGGCCCACAAGTATTCCGTCTACCCAATATATAATATATATATATATATATATATAAAATTGTCGGAGGCACGGTGGTGTAATGGAGAGCGTCACGGATTGAGCAGTTGAAGAGACGTTTTGGAATTCTTGTCGAATCCATTACATTAACTTACTTGGGAAAGGTATAAATCCTCTTCTTTCTCGCCCCCAGGGTAAATAGCAGGACAGATTGCGTTCTATAGCCTTGGATGGCAACTGTTGTAGGAGAATGATAACAATGATGGAAGGTCGGTTGGGGATCTTTTCGCACACAGTGCCCCAGGTCTCTGTATTCGGCTCTTGAAAAAATGTGGTTGGTTCTGCACAAAACTTCACCACTATAATCAAATGATTTGTGCAGGTAGTCTGGCTGTCACCTTCTATGAAATGAGCTGCTTGACTCTCCTAGCTTGAAAACAACGAAAACAATGTCCATCGTCTTTTCATGTTGAATTGAATATAGTCTAATGTTAATTATGTTTTATGAATATGTCCTGAAGATGGTCTACTAGACCGAAACATCCGACGTTGACATTATATTAACATTAAAACAGCATAATTGCATATTAGGATTTTGTTTGTTTTTTTCCGTATATTTTTCTTCATATATATATATATATATATATATATATATATATATATATGTATGATGTAATGAATATGCATACACCTAGGTTCCCCCTCACAGTAATATGATTATCTGGTGTCAGCCATAAATACAGTCTGATATGGAGGTACATGAACTATGCCTATTGACTACACGTATTGTCTTCGCCTATTGCCTACCACTACGACGAGGACCAGTCCATTACGGTTACCTGCTAGATTGTCCTACCCCGTTACAATAGTCAAAAAACCTACTTCGAAGGACATATCCCTTTCCGGGACATATCAATATATATATATATATATATATATATATATATATATATATATATATATATATATATATATATATATATACCGTCAACAAAAAAGATGTTTAATATTTAAACACAAACACTAAACTAATTGAGTTTTCTTTTTCCGGGTTTTCAGATATAATATGAAGCCATCTTGACAGCGTTTGACAACAGAATCCTTTGCGTTATTCAGATAGAAAGAGAATAGGTTAAAATCATTTTGTCTCAGACCCACTATGTCCATTCACATATCACTAGAACATCGAATGAGTTTTAAAAAGGGAACAGAAAAGAAGAGACCTGGATCAGTCGGTCATAACACCAAGACAGATCATCATCTCAACTTAATTCTAAATACAATCTTATTTTTTAAGAAATGTCCAATAATGTTAAAAAAAAAACATAGAAGGTTTCCCGTAAGATATCTTTAATCATTTCTAAGATACAACCGTCCAAAGCATAATCTAACAATTGGACATATTGTAGTTACACGACTATTGCTGTTGCACCACATACATATATATATATATATATATATATATATATATATATATATATATATATATATATATATATATATATAGTATATCCACGTATAGGATTGGTGTTTGCGGAATTAATTCCAATAAAAAAAAAAATACTTTTCTTAAAAAGAGTGCTCAATACAGAGTCGAGCAAATATAATTATTTATTCGAAAATTATAACATAAATACGTTATAAAATCACTACAAAAGTAGCCATTTTGCTTCAACACTTCTGGTGTCTTATCAGGTCATCGTGTTTGAATATAGAACAAAGGGTTTATTTAAAACATTATTCTATATTAAACACCATCCTTGATAAGAACCAGAAGTGTCGAAATAAAATGACTATTTTTGTAATGATTTTATAACATATATATATTATAATAGATAATAGATAGATAGATAGATAGATATATATATATATATATATATATATATATATATATATATATATATATATATATAAATTCGATAGACTAATATAAAAGCTCAAACAATAATATTCTAGAGTTATAATTTATTACATTGGAATCGTAATCACGATCCAATTCAGCGAACCTAAAATTCATCAAAAAAGACCATTTTTTTGTTTGAATTTGTAGGTCTACTGAATTGGATCGTGATTATGATTCAATGTTAAATTATAACCTAGAATATTACTGCTTAGCCTTATATATATATATATATATATATATATATATATATATATATATATATATATATATATACTGAAAAGTTTTGGAAGGTAATTTGTGTTTAAAAAAAGAATAGACTGATTAAAATGATTGTAGATCTTTTATATTCTCTCACCTCTTGATTAATTCGAAAGAAGAAACGCATTTGTCACACGGGAATTATTCATTGCGACATACACCTGGAATTTCCGAGGTGATATTAGAATACATATAGAGATTCCTTTCTTACGTTCGTATTTTAATTACGTTTACCCACCTTACAATGAGGCAATGATAAGTTTCGCAAACAATGATAAAATGATTGATTTTTATTTTCGTAATTTAAAAGAAATGATGGCATTGTTCGTGTTCAATATACACATACAGAAAAACACATTTACATCGAATAAATATAGGTGAGATTTTTTCTATATGAATTATTCATAATATTTCATTTATGTATACAGGATAATATAAAACGTCTTCCTGTGAGTGTAAGATTTTGTCACTTTAAACCATGAATTCCCATACTGGGCGATATCACTCACCAGCGGCGGATTCTAGCTGTTGGGTGGGTTCTAGATGTTTTGGTGGTTTATATAGGATTTTGTTTATTGAAATGTGTTTGAATATAATGAAATTTGCTACTTTAAACGGGATATGAAATGAGCCTGTATAAAAACAAAACAAAAAAATAAAACAGGCTACATCTGTCATGTTTCTATATAACATATAAATCTACCCGTAAGCAACAAATAATTGGGTATTTTTATAGTATGGCGAAGGGTCATTGACATTCAGATAGTACTTTGGACGAGATAAATCAGATAAGACGACCAAAAACAACAAAAAATTTTCAACAATTTTTGTTAGTTGCTAATAGTATATATTCGTTATAATTTTATAGTTATGACCAAAAAAATCGTTTTATTTTTGCCAAAGGTAGCCTTGATCATAAATATAAATTATATAATATATATATATATATATATATATATATATATATATATATATAGCATATTACATTGTATACGACAGACAAGGTGATTTTATTTAATAGCATCGACGAGAATAGAAACAAACAATAACATTAATATTTTTATAAGAATCAAATGAACGAAAATTATTAACAAGAAAAAAATGTAAACACCAATTGACAATAGCAAAACAATTACATTAAATAGTTAAAGTTAAAAATAATTCACCTCTTAGAACAGCATTAAATACGGAAAATGTTATTTACGAATTAAAAAGCCCATTAAGGAACTGTATTGCTGATCAATCAAAATTCGTAAATAATTATATAGGCCACACTACATCATGTTTGACACGCAGACTCACTCTACACCTTTCTGACTATAGCTCAATTAGATCTCATTTAAATATTCATGGAGACCTACCGGACACTATTCGGAACATACTTGTTGACAACACTAATATAATAGCATCATCTACATGCTAAAAAAATGAGGGTAAAT